TTTCTTTCCTTTTTTGAATAATTTTGCCAGAGCTTTATCAGCCTTCTGAAAAATCAACTTTTGGTTTACTTGATCTTCTCTGTTGTGTTTTTTTATTTCATTAATGTCTACTTTTTATGTCCTACTTTCTATGGGTTTATTATGTTGTTATTTCTTAAACTTCTGAAGTTGGATGCTTAACTCATTCTTTTTGAGACTTTTAAATTCTTTAAGTGTGTAAGGCTATACATTTTCTTCCAAATGCCTCTTTAACTGTCTTCCTCATTTTGATAAGCAGTATTTTGTTATTTTACAATCCCAATATTTTATACTTTCCACTATTATTTCTTATTTGACCCATATGTTGTTTGGGAAAATATTTTAAATTTCTATGATATTTTTACAGTTAGGTGTCTGTTATTAATTTCTAACTTAATTGTGTTATATTCAGAATGTGGTTTATGTCTGTCTGTTGCCAGTCCTTTGGAATATGTTGAGGCTTGCTTTCAGGACTAGCCTGTGATCAGTTTTCATAAATATACTTTAGTTCTTTTTTTAAAAAAAGATTTTATTTATTTAATATTAGAGCACGTGTGCAAGCATAGGGAGGAGGGCAGGCAAAGGGAGAGGAAGAAGCAGGCTCCCTGCTTAGGAGCCTGATATGAGACTCCATCCCAGGATCCTAGGATTATGACCTGAGCGGAAGGCAGATGCTTAAGCGACTAAGCCACCCAGGTGCCCCTATACCTTAGTTCTTATAAAGAATATATATTCTAATGATCAGGTGAAGTGTTTTATATATGTCTGTTTTATCAATCTTGCTGATTGTGTTGTTCAAATCTCCTACATCCTTTTTGATTATTTTATTTCACATTCTATCAATTATGGCAACAGGGATTAAAAACTCCTACTCTGTAGATTTGTTAGTTTCTCCCCGTGGTCTTGTCTGTTTTTACTTTAATGTATTTTAGGCTACCTTTTGATGTGTATATGATTTTAGAATTATTCTATCTGGATAATTGAATATTTTATTATTTTGTAATGATCCTCTCTATGTATAGTAATATTAACTTGCCTTAAAATCTATTTTCTCAATACATCTACACCCGTGTTCTTTTGGTTAATATTTGCGTGGTATACCTTTTTCTATCTTCTGATGGAAACTTTGTATATCTCTATATTTTAGGTGTGTGTGTTATAACCTGAAAATAGCTGGATCTTGTTTCTGTCTAGTCTGACATTGTATATTTTATCTGAAGAGTTTATTTAGCCTATTTATACTTAATGTGATTCTGATATACTATTTTCACCAGATGTAGTTTTGTTTTGTTTTGAGAGAGAAAGGGAGAGCAAGGGTGGGGGGGGGAGGGGCAGAAGGAGAGAGAGAATCTTAAGTAGGCTCCATGCCCAGTCTGGAGCCTGATATGAGGCTCCATTTCAACACCCTGAGATACTGACCTGAGCTAAAGTCAAGAGTCAGTGGCTTAACCGACTGAGCCACCCAGGCATCCCCAAATCTGTTTTATATTTACCTCTCTCTGTTTCTCTTCCTCCTCCTTCTTAACTTTCTCATTTCAAGGATTGTTTAAGGAGTTTTTTGTTCTCTTTCCATTTTTTTTTGTCTTTGTGTAGAAATTATGATTTATTTCTAACCATGTAGTAGCTACTCTATTTCAACATGAATACTTCACAAAGGTCAAAGTTAATAGTTTTCCTTCTTCCCAGAGAGCTCAAGTATTTTAGAAAGTTTAAAGTCCAGTCACCCCTTTCCCTAGGTGGTCCTATCCTGCTTCCCTCCCCTTAAATTAAGCATCAAAAAAAAAAAAAGAGTTTAGCCCTTTTTATGTGTTTAAATTTACCCACACATTTACCAATTTCTTGTCATACTGTTTCTTATCACATTTCAGATCTTTAGTTGTAGATCATTTTTCTTTTGTCTGAAATAGCACAACTATTACAATTTCTTTAAGTGAGAGTTGATTGTTGGCCAACTGTCTCAACTTTTGTTTGTCTGAAAAGTTCTTTATTTTACCTTGGTTCTTAAAATATTTTATATATTTTTTAAGATTTTATTATTTGACAGAGTGAGAGAGCACAAGCAGGGGGAGCAGCAGAGGGAGAGGGAGAAGCAGACTCCCCACTGAGCAGGGAGCCCGATACGGGACCCTGGGACCATGACCTGAGCCGATGGCAGATGCTTAACTGACTGAGCCACCCAGGCGCCCCTCAAATATATATTTTTACTGGGTAATAGAATTATAGGGTGACAGTTTCATTCAACACATTGGCTAGTACTTAGTCTTGATTGTTGCTAATGGGAATTCAGTCATTAGTTGCCATTTGTTCGAAGGTGATTTGATTTTAATCTGGTAGTTTTTAAGAATATGTATTTTTCTTTGATGTTCTGTTGTTTTACTGTGATGTGTCTTGGTATGGATTTCTATTTATTTATGCTTGAAACTTGTTAGGACTTCCTAGATCTCAAGGATTGATGATGTTCAACAGTTTTGCAAAATTCTCACCCTTTGTCTCTTCAAATATTGCCTCTTCCTCATTCTCTCTATTACATGCTGGTGAAATCCTGATTAGACTAAGTTCTTCTCTTTCTCCATGTCTCTTAACTTCTTTTTTTTATATATTCCATCTCTCTGGGCCATATTTCCAGATAAATTAGTTAACTAATTTTCTTTTTTAGGGTCATCTTGACAGAACAGTTTTAGTGGAATGATGGGCTCAGAAGCCAGATTAATCTGGATTGATGAGAAAATGACAGGTGAAACAGTAGAGACATTCACTCTAGTTAGTATGGAAGTTTTGTTGTGAAGGGAGCCAAGAAATAGGAGAAGGAATTAAGGGAGGGTTTGTTTGTTTTAAAGGTGAGTGATATTAAGGCACATTTGGATATCTATAGGAATGATCTAGTAGAGAAGGAAAACATGATGTAGAAAAGAGGGGATAATTTAAGAATGAAATTTCTCAGAAAACAAGAAGGAACAAGTCCACATTTTTCAATTCTTTGATTCATTTGTGTTTTTGTACCACCCCATTTAAAGATTAGTGAAAGAGATTTTTTTTTTTAAAATCAGGCTGAGATGAGCCTGCTGTCAATTTAACAAGTATTATTCATGCATCCGTTCACTCAATCAATCAACAAATAGTACATTTGCCTTTTTTGTGCGGGTACTGTCCTGGGCTCTGAGAACAGAATTTTATTTTATTTTTTTTTTAAAGATTTTATTTATTTATTTATTTGAGAGAGAGAAAGAAAGAGAGAGAGCACATGAGAGGGGGGAGGGTCAGAGGGAGAAGCAGACTCCCTGCCGAGTAGGGAGCCCGATGCGGGACTCGATCCCGGGACTCCAGGATCATGACCTGAGCCGAAGGCAGTCGCTTAACCAACTGAGCCACCCAGGCGCCCGAGAACAGAATTTTAACAAGATAAACATGACCCATGCACTCACAAAGCTTATGGGTTGGTGGTAGTGGGTGGATGTGACACAGACAAAGACTTGGAAGGGAAAGTACAGTATAGTAGGAGAGCATTTAAAAGGGACCTTAAATCCTTTACCCTTTTTCTGGGAGATTAGAGAAGCAACATTTAAACTGATTTCCAAAGAATGAGTAGTTAACCAGGCAAATTCTGGGAGAGCATGCCAAGAAGAGAGAAGAGCACAGATGAAGGTCCTGTTGCCAGCAAGGAACTGGCAGAAATTTAGGAACTGAAAGAAGACTAGCGCACAGTGAATGAAAAGCAAGATGAGCTTTGGAAGGATAGCAGGTGCCATATAGTACAGAATCATAAGAATTTTAGACTATCCTGGGAGCAGTTGGGAAGTATTGAAGGGACTTAAAGAGAAGAGTGACAGAATCTATTTTCATAATATTTCTCTTGTAAAAGTGTGTTCGTGAGGCTACTGGAGCCTGATGCCGTTAAACCTTAGAATCATACAGTTACCACACTCCTCCTTACAATTAATTTGTTTACTTATCCATCTAATACGGCTTCCACAACCAGACATGAGTGGAAGTTTCCTTGGAATTAACAGAATGATTTTCTGCTTTGTGTGTGTGTGTGTGTATGTGTGTAAGTGTGTGTGTTAGAGAGGAAGAGAGAGAGATGGTGGTAGGGGTCAGATACTTGGTAGTCAAGATATATTTTTTAAAATTTAACAAACCAATGAGAAAATTAACCAACTCTATTTAGCATGTAAATAATGTATGCATCATATAGTCTAAGAAATTCTTAAACTGCTATCTTTTAAAACTAGCTATTTTTGAATTATTTTATAGACTCTAATAAATTATGATGGATTTGTGTAATGATTTGTTTTAATCCCTAAGTTTTTAGGCTTAATATAAATAAGATTGTTTCTCTATTCTTATTTCTCTTTTCATCATAAATGTCAGAATGTACTATTCTGTTTATGTTATCAGCTTCTTTAGAGATTATTCAGATTCTGAGTTGTCATTTTGACTAGCTAAATTTATCTTGATCCTTAGAGTCTATATTTAATGAACACCTAACACTATGCCTTGCACATAGTAGGCACTCAAAAAATATGCTCAGTAAATCAAGATATCTGATACAGTGCTCTTAATTTACCTTATAAAAATTTCCTTCCTTTATTCCTTCCTTTCACCCAAAACATATTGCCCTTTTTTGATATTCCTTTTCTTCCTGACTTTGTAGTCTTCAGTATTCTGCTCAGAATGTTGTTATTTTGCTATACTCCCTTACTCAGAATCCCTTTTTTAAGGTTTAATTGCCCTGAGTCTTTTTCTTGAGACTCATATACTTGTTATTTTGTATTCTAAACCTTTCTTGTTTGCCCACTTTCTCTTAAAAGATGTCTTTTTCCTTTCTTTTTTGATCTATCTTAATTTAAATTGAAAAACCCATCTTGGAGCCTGTTTATGATTTTATATTTTGCAGCATCTTAACTGCAGTTTTCCCATCCTGAGGAACTATTTAATTGTTACTGTGTAATTGATAAACATAATTTTATGTATTCTGTTTTTAGTCTATTGAAGACAATGAAGTATATTTGCCTAATGATGAAATTTGGACCTATGATATTGATAGTGGGTTGTGGTAAGTAATTTTAAATTGCAAAATGTCCAGTCTTAATATCTGTTTTAAATATTTTCATTGACTACAGGGAATTTAAGACCAAACTTAGAACATACTGTAACATTTATTGTCTCCCTTTCCTTTTCTTTGAATGCTTTATTCTCGCTGGCTGGCTCTTTTCCCTGCTCCCTTCCTCTCTTTTCTCTTTGTCATTTGCCATTCCTTTCAAGGCAAAGCCTGTCCCAGAAGACTTTGCTTTGTTCTACCAATTAATTCCCAATTCTAGTGATACGTGAAGATTCTGCAATTTTTTTCACATAGGTTGAAAAGTCTTTACCATGGATCTTAGAGTTTTTACAGTATTGGCCACCATGGCATTTCAATTGTAATTGTCACTGACAATCTTCACTGAAAGAGTACTCATGGAGTTCAAAGGGAATTTTAATTTGCCTTTCTGGAAAGTCATGGAATTCCATGTTATTCTTGCTGCAGGACCATGCACCTCATGGAAGGAGAACTCCCTACCTCCATGTCAGGAAGTTGTGGTGCTTGCATTAATGGAAAGCTGTACGTTTTTGGAGGATATGATGACAAAGGATACAGCAATCGAGTAATACTTTCTTTCAATTCAGGAATGCAGCAAAATGTAATATTTAGTGTATCACTTAATCTTACAAGTTTACAAATATTTAAAAAAGAAGATAAAAATAGAAAATCTTGAGCTTACAAGGTTTTAAAAATAGATTGAAAATGCAGCCATTTTGTTCTTCTCTTCTTCCACGTCTTTCTGCTTCGGAGTTAGCTCCATGCTTAGTTGGTGTCTATAGGGCAGAGCATGATGGGACAGGATCCATTTCAGGATGTCTTATATGTCATTTTTGCTTCTAAAACACAGTCTCATTTTTATTAACTTTACAATGAATAATTTTATCTTTTAAAGAGAAAAGAGTAATATTATTAATTCTTGGATCACATATTCCCTCAGACACAGACTTAATTTTTAAATGCCCAGTCTGCTAATGGTGTTCTCCTCTTTTAAAAGCTTTATTTTGTTAATTTGCGAACAAGAGATGGAACCTACGTTTGGGAAAAAATCACCAGTTTTGAAGGACAACCACCCACACCACGTGATAAACTCTCTTGCTGGGTATATAAAGACAGGTAATGCAGCAAAATCGTCTCCTTAATTACACTTAAGTAAGGGTTATAGCTTGTGGCCAAAATAGAGAAAACTTGAAAGTCTGGATATTTTTTTCAAGGTATAATTACAAACTTGTTTTGACTCTGTGGATAATGGCAGTTCTGCATCCTGGATAAGAGCCATGTCATAAAAATAAGCATTGTGGAAGCAACTATTTGTTTTTTTTTAAATAAACTTACTATTTAATTAAACTTTCTGAATAGTTAACACATTCACATGGTTCAAAAATCGAAACCATATTAAAAAGCTGATAGTGAAAGGTCTGGCTCCCACTCCTATCCCCATCCACTCTATTCCCTCCCACCATGCACAAATAGCTACTTCTACTAATATCTTTTGTATTCTTAGAGTAGTGGTTCTCAAACTTGTCTGCCATTGGAATCACCTGGGGATTTTTTAAAAATTCCAAAGCCCAGGTGATACCTTATACCAATTAAATGGTCATCTCTGGGGTTATGATGTTTTGAAACTCCTCAGGTGTGTCCAAGATGCAGACAAGTTTGGAAACCACTGCCATCAGTGTTAATTTATGCAAGTAGAAGTAAATACAAAGGAGCGTATGCACACATTCCTTTTTTCTCTCTCTTCCTTACACAAATAGCAGTGTACTCTGTACATTCTTCTGCACCCTGCTGCTTCTGTTAGTTAACAGTATACCATGGAGATCTTTCATCTTTCTGTATCCTGAGTGAGAAAGCTGATTTCCTTCCTTCCTTCCTCCCTCCCTCCCTCCCTTCCTTCTCTTTCTCTTCCTTTCTTTTCTTCCTTTCTTTCTTTTAATAGCTGCATAGTATTCCCCTTTGAGGATATACCATAGTTTATTTAACCTTTCCCCTGTAAATGAAATAATACTTATTTCAATTCCTTTGCTATTACAAACTATGCTTTAATGAATATCTGTGTGTGTGTGTGTGTGTGTGTGATTGCAGATCTATCCATCGGATAAAATGAGATTGCATTTATAATTTTGACAAATACTTAGTTTGCTAAGGCTGTTGTAACAAAGTACCATAAACTAAGCGGCTTAAACAACAAAAATGTGCTTTCTTGTGTTTCTAGAAACTGGAGGTCCGAGATCAAAATGTCAGCATGACTGGCTCCTTCTCTAGGTTTTGAGGAGGAATCTGTTCCCTGCCTCCCCCCCAACTTCTGCGGACTTGCTGGCAGTCTCTGCTGTTCTTGAGCATATGTAGAGGCGTCACTCTGATCTCGGCCTCATGTTCACACAGCATTCTCTCTGTGTGTGTGGGGCTGCCTCTGAATTTGTCCCTCATATAAGGACACCAGTCACACTGGATTAGAGCCTCCCCTAATGACCTCATTTTAAATTGATTGCTTCTGTAAAGAACCTATCTCCAAATAAGGTCACATTCTGAGATACTGGGGATTAGGACTTCAACATATGAAAGGAGAACACAATTAAACCTATAGCAATAGATTCTGTCAATTTTTCCTCCATGGAAGTGGGGCCATTTTGCATTCCAACAATGGAATGCTTGTTTCTCCATAGTCTTGCCAAGAGTTTGCTGGCAAACTCAGATTGTTTGTTTGTTTGCCAGACTGATAAATGAGAAATATCTCAGTCTTATTTTCATTTTCACTGAAAAAAATTTTTTGTGGGGTGTGAATGTATTTTCATATGTTTAAGGGCAATTTTTATTTCTTTTTCTCTGTACTGTTTGTTTGTGTCCTGTGCTAATTATTTTCTATTTGAGTTTTGTAAACTTGATTTCTAGGAGTTATTTATATATTAAGGAAATTAGTGTTTGACTATGATATGATATGAAAATATTTTTCCAGTTTGTCATTTGTCTTTTGAGTTTGCTTAGTATGTATTCTGCATGTTTTGTGGTTTCCTGATCTTGAATCTTGATTAAAAGGTTATACATTAATTTACTTATATATTTTCCTCTAGTACTTTGTCATTTTATTTTTTACATTTATTTTTTTTAATTTAAATTCAATTAACGTACAATATATTATTTGTTTCACATGTACAGTTCTGTGATTCATCAGTCTTATATAATACTCATTACATTATGTCTTATATAATGCTCATTATAACACATAAGCTCCCCGATGTCGACCATCATCCAGTTACCCCATCCCTCCACCCCCCTCCCCTTAATGTTTACATTTAAATCGTAGATTCATTTGGAACTTATTCTGTGAATGGTTATGAGATATGGATCCAAGTTTATCTTTTTTTGAATGGCTACCTGTCTGTAACTCAGTTATTTCCTTACCTTTATCATGTATTCCCCTAATTTTCATTGGTATTTGGGTCTGAGTTTTCTATTCTATTACATTGATCTGTTAATGAACAAGTACTTCACTAGTATAGATATTGAAGCTTTACAGAACATTCTTATAGGACTACTGTAAATCATTAAGTGTATACCTTAAATAAATAATTATCACAAAATGAACACACGTAACTACCACCCAAGTAAAGAAACAGAACCTCATCAACTCTCTAAAATCCTTCATTATGTTCACTCATAATCACTGTGCTCAGCCTCCTTGCTAAAGGAAACCATTATGCAGACTTTTAGTATCCTAAATTAGTTATTGTTTTATTTTTTATACTAGCTATGGCATCCTATAGAATTTATCCTTTTACTGAACTTATATTTTTTTTTCTGAACTTATATTTTTGAGAGTCATTCATGATGTGTATACCTATGGTTTTATTTCCTTTATATTACTCTGTTAAATGAAATACTACAAAATATTTATTCATTCTACTATTGATAGACATTTGGGGCATTTCCACTTTTTGACTCTTTGGAATAATATGGCTCTGAACATTCTTTTATGTACTTTGATACATAAGGGTAAACATTTCTATTGGGTATGTATCTCTTCATTCTCTCAGCAGTGTAATCTGATTTCAATGTAGTCTAATTAACCAATCTTTTCCTTATGATTAGTGCTTTTGTGTCCTAGACTTAATTGATCCCAACTCTACAAAGTATTTTTGATCCTTTGAAGTTTTTCTTGTTCGTGTATATAAGAAACAGGAAACAGTGGTTGCCCTAGATAGGGAAATTGTTTGAGAGTAGGAGAGAGATTTATTTTTACTACACCTTTTTCTTAAAGTCATGATAAAATACATGTAATATAAAATTTGTCATTTTAACCATATTTAAGTGTCTAATGCAGTGCCATTCATTACATTCACAGCTTTGTGCAACCATCACCATTATTTAGTTCCCAAATTTATCATCACTCCAGAGACTCTATACCCATTAAGCAACACTTCCCCACTCCCCTTTCTCCCCAGCCTCTGGTAACTTCTAATCTACTTTCTATCTCCATGAATTTGCCTGTTATAGATATTTATAAAAATGGAATCATTCAATATTTATTCTTTGGTGTCTGGCTTATTTCACTTAACAAAATATTTTCAGGGTTCACTATGTGTAGTATGTATCAGAACTTCTTTCTTTTTACAGCTGAATAACATTTCATTATATGCATTGTATGCATTTGTTTATCTGTTTGTCTGTTGATAAACACTTGCTTTTTTCCACCTTTTGGCTGTGGTGAATAATGCTGCTATGAACATTGGCTTACAAGTATTGTTTGTGTCCCTGTTTCCAATTCTTTTGGGTATATGCCTAAGAGTAGAATTTCTGGGTCATATGGTAATTCTATGTTTAGTTTTTTGAGGAAACACCAAACTATTTTCCACAATGACTGTGCCATTTCATATTTCCACTGGCAATGTACACAGGTTCTAATTTATCCACATCCTTACCAACACTTGCTCTTTTCTCTTCCTTCCTTCCTTCCTTCCTTCCTTCTTCCCTCCCTCCCTCCCTTTCTTCTCTTCCTCCTCCTCCTTCTTCTTCTTGTTCTTCTTCTTCAAAAGTAACAGCTCTCCTAGTGGGTATGCTGTGGTGTTCATTGTGGTTTTGATTTGTATTTCCCCAGGGACTAATGATGTTGACCATTTTTTCATATACTTATTGGCTATTTGTATATCTTCTTTGGAGAAATGTCTATGCAAGTCCTTTGCCCACTTTTAAAAATTGGGTTGTCTTTTTGTTGTTGAATTATAGGAGTTCTTTACTTATTCTGGATATTAATCTCTTATCAGACATATGTAGAGTTTTTTTATTCTAATGTTTTGGGTTGGCTGGCCTCATAGATTGAGTTAAGAAGTGTTCTTTTCATTTTTGGGGGGGGAAGACTTTGAGAAGGTTGGTATTAATATTCTGTAAATGTTTGGTATAATTTGCCACCTAAGCCATCTGGTCCTGGACTTGTCTTTGTTGGGAGGTTTTTTGATTACTGACTCAGTTATATAGGTTTATTCAGTTTTTCTATTTCTTCATAAGCCATTTTTGATAGTGTCTTTTCAGAAATTATTCTATTATATCTAACTTATCCAATCTGTTGTAGTATTCTCTTATAGTCCTTTTAATTTCTGTAATGTTGATAGTAATGTCCCCTCTATCATTTCCAGTGTTAGTGCTTTGAGTTTTCTCTTCTTTTTTGTCAACCTAACCAAAGATTTGTCAATTTCGTTGATCTTTTCAAAGAACCAACTTTTGGTATGTTGTTTTTCTCTATTTTCCTAATCACTGTTTTGTTTAGTTCCCCTTTGTTTTTCATTATTTCCTTCTTCCTGTTATCTTTGGGTTTAGTTTGCTCTTCTTTCCAGTTCCTTAATGTGTACAGTTATGTTATTTATTTGAGATGTTTTTTAAAAAAATATTTAGGCATTTACGGCTATAAAATTCCCACTGAGCACCACCTTCATTGCATACCATAAGTTTTGTTTTATTGTATTTTCTTTTTTGTTTATTTTATTGTATTTTCATTTTTATTCATTTCTAGGTAATTTTTAATTTCCCTTGTGTATTTTTTCTCCACCCATTGGTTGACAGTTGTTTTTTCTTTTCTTTCAGCACTTTAAAGATTTTATTACATTGCTTTTGGCCTCCATTTTTCTGGTGAGAAAGTCACACTCATTTGTGTTTTTGTTCCCCTGTATATGTCTTTTTTCTCCTGGCTTTTCTTTATTTTTTTATATTTGTTCCTCATTGATTTGATTAAAATGTTCCTACTTGTAGTTTCCTTTGTATTTATCCTGCTTGGAGTGTGCTGAGCTTTTTGGGTTGGTGGGTTTACATCTTTCATCAGTTTTAGGAAGCTCTTGGTAATTATCAAATATTTCTTCTACACGTTTATTTGTCTCTTCTCCTTCTGGGATACCTGTTATATGACATTAGACCATTTCATATTCCTCCACAGATCTTGGGCTCCCTGGGTTCCCCTCCATCTTTTTTCTTCTCTTTAGTTTAATTTGGATACTTTTTATTAATCTCTTGACCTGTCTCAAGTTCACTGGTCTTTCCCATTGCTATGTCCAGTCTCCTGCGAAACCTATTTAATCAATTCTTTATATCTGACATCTTTTTTTTTTTTCATTTTTAGCATTTCCATTTAGTAGTTCTTTTCTGTGGTTCCATATCTCTGCTGAAATTGCTCTGTTCTTCCTGCATGTTGTCCACATTTTACAAACTAGGTCTGTTAGCATCTTTATCATAGTTATTGTAGATGCCATGTCTGATAATTCCACTATCTGGGCCACCTTGGTGTCAGCTTATATTAACCCTCTCTTGATCATAGGTCACTTTTTTTTTTTTTTGCCTCTTCATGTATCTTGTAATTTTTTCACCACATTCCAGAGATTCTGTATGAAAGAATAGTAAGTATTAGAAAAAGGGATATTTATCTCCAGAAAAGGACATGTCCTTTTCTGTTTTTTCTCAGGCTGTTAGAGTGGTAGTTCAGTCAGTCTCATTTGTAGTTGAGTTGTGTTTGGGATTATTGCAACTGTTGTCCAACTGGCTTCAAATGTTTTGAGGCAAGATCATGACTTTCCTTTGCTAGGACCCCATGTTTGAGCACTGCATACAGATTATCTAAAGATGTTCAGCTGTACTTCACAGTGTTCTCACCCTCAGAACTGTGGAAGATCTCTCCCTGTTTTATAGCCTCATTTGGAGGTCTTTGGGTCACCAGGGAGTTCTCTTTGCTCTCCAGTCCCACGTTTTGCTTTCTGTACAATGGGAGATCTTTTTCAGCCTTGTACCTCCTCCCTGGGACTTTTGAGGGCAGCCATCCTGTGTGCTATAATGACTTGATATGCCCCTGAGGTATTTCCTTCAGATCTCCTGTCCTGGTCTCAAACTTCAGTAGTTTAAAGCTCATGTTGCCTCAAAGATGTTTGCTTAGTTCTCTTCTGCTTTCACCCTGTTGATGACTGGCGTGAGCCTTCTGAAGACTATGTGAAAGACTTGTTGAGTGGATTCAAATTCCCACTGTGGCTGATTTTCTTAAGATTCTAATTTCCCATGCCAGCCTACAAGTGGCTGTTAAAATTTTGGGTGATTTCTTTTACAAACCCTCTCTGTCCTGGATTCTTCCTCCTCTTGCTGTAATACCAGGAATGAAAGCAGCCATGCATGGGTCTCTTCCCTCCTATTGAGAGTTCATCACTTTCTGGAATTAGTTCATTTAGATTTCTTTTTTCCCTTCTCTCTTTGATTTTTTTTTAAACTATGGTTTTTTAGGTTATTTGGCTAGTTTAGGTTATTAGGGTGAGAGAGATGATCTCTTTTAAATTTCAATGAGCACATTGGAAATAGAAATTCTAAAGTGTGTTCTTTTGTATTTGTTTTTCAGATTAATATATTTTGGTGGCTATGGGTGTAGGAGACACAATGAACTCCAAGACTGTTTTGATGTTCATGATGCATCTTGGGTAATCACTGTTTACATTTTCCTCTAATTTAGTATCATTTTAATGTCTTTAGAAATAATGACTCCAGTCTTTCTCAGTTTAACTTGCCATAATTGACACTATGAAAAAAAAACATGTTTTCTCTTTTTTGGATTCAGATTCAGTTGGAGGAGGTTCTCTCACCTTCTCTCACCTAGTGGTATTAGCCTTCATGGCTCCTGGCAGAATAATGTCTTACTTTATTAATCACTTACACCTGTTTCTGTTAGACAAGTAGAGATTTTAGCACAACTTGGAAAAACTCTGTTCATAGACTACCAGAATGGCTGTTGCTGACATACACCTCCTTTTAGGTATGTCCACCAGAACTATTCATAGCTCAGGCTGACCTCTCTATGACAGTGAGTAAGTTGGTCATGATATTACCTTTCCTACTTATTCTTACTGGTTAGAGAATAAACTAATGAAATAAGACATGACATAAAAATGAAACCTTTTAAAAGATAACTGTAAAGACCATTGATCCTAGCACCAAGATACATAGTAGCTCTTCTGTTTTACCTTTTACTAGCATATATTGTTATTGTACATTGTAATGTAAATATATATGTACATTTCATGTATATCTTTTTGTGTATGGGTATTTAAAAAGATCTCTATGTATTTACATGGTTTTTGAGTTTTTAAAATAAAATACCTTTAAAGTTTTGTTACTTATAGTATTACTGATAATTTTTAGAAATATAAATTCCCATTACTTATATCTACATATTTTTACTCATTTTTTTTTCTCTCCTAGTACAGTTAGGCTAAGAATCATGTCCTGAAGTTTCTGGTGTACAAGTAGCTTTCTTTTCATTTATATTTTAAATTAAGGAAATTGTTTAGTGTGTTTAACTTGTTTGACAAGTTCTGACAAAAATGAATGATGTATTTCTGGCATAGAACCTAAAATTGACACAGAGGCAAGCTAAAGCAGTCATAGAGAATTTCAACAATCCAGAGATGCTAAATATAGTATAATTGCTAAATGGCTGCCCTGCTGACAATTTTGTCTCTTAGAAGGCAGATAAGAGAGTAAGCCCAAGTTTGACCTGTAAGAACAAATTACTTGGTTAAGTAGAAGTGATTGGAGCTTTTTGGGAAAAGGAACCATGGTCCCCTAAGGTTCCTAATTGCAAAGATTAGGAATTCTGAGCGTGCACTCTAGGAACACAGATTGCAAGATATAAATGTCATTTTGTCCTCTGCAATTTCCAGAGACAATTCTTTGAGGGAATTGGAAGATTATCAACAAGTAAATTTATGACTCACTGCAGGCAGTGCTAAGAGAAGACAAGTTGCTACTGGTATGGAGGCCACACTTTGTGGGCCACTGGCGTGTGCATTAGCTTTATGACTATGGTAACACTTACCTCTATTTTTATAATGGTGTCTATTATTTCACCACTAAATATGCAATGACATTTATTACAATAACCTAAAGAATATAAGCTTTGAAATATTTTAAAAATTCCTGTTTTAGGAAGAACAGATCTTCTGGGGATGGCATAATGATGTTCATGTATTTGATACAAAGACACAGAATTGGTTTCAACCAGAAATTAAAGTAAGTATTGTAGAAAGTTACATTTGTATTTATATACTCATTGATACTTTATTTTTTTTTCTAAAGATTTTATTTATTTATTTGACATGGAGAGAGAGAGAGTGAGAGAGCACAAGCGGGGGGCGGGTAGCGGCAGGCAGGCAGAGGGAGAGGGAGAAGCAGGCTCTCTGCTGAGCAAGGAGCCCGATGCGGGGCTCGATCCCAGGACCCTGGGATCATGACCTGAGCTGAAGGCAGCTGCTTAACCAACTGAGCACCCAGGCACTCCTACTCATTGATACTTTAAAAGAATATTTTTTTGCTAAATTATTTGGATTTTAGTAATTGAGTTTATAATCATATAATCCCTTGAGTACCATCACTAATACTTTTTTTTTTTAATCACCTATTTTTATCCAGGCTAGCTAAGTTTTTCTAGAAAAATCTTCCAAAGTGGGTACCATCATCATTCTTCACGTGCAAGTGTGATGTCCTGATTTAATGGTGGCACTTTTAAAATGTCCTTTTAGGGCGCCTGGGTGGCTCAGTCCGTTAAGCATCTGCCTTTGGCTCAGGTCATGATCTTGGGGTCTTGGGATAGAGTCCCTGCTCAGTGGGGAGTCTGCTTCTCCCTCTGCCCCCCCCACCCTGCTCATGCTTGCTCGCTCTCTCTTTCTCTCTCTCGTAAAAATAAATAAAATATTTTTTAATGTCCTTTTATAATCAAGTCCACAATTTTGAAAAGCCCATATTTCATAAACTCTTGAAATCTACATGCAATTAAAGCATGATAAAAATACATTATTATACTTTTTCATGTGCTGGTGAGCAAACCCAAATTCAAATTAGCTTAAGCCATAATGAATTTTTACATAGAGGGAAGTTTTATTTTGGAGCGTGTCACACAGTGGAAGGGCTGCAGGGATTAGGGCCTCAGGAGCTAGAGCAAGTTACTCAACACCATCACAACATTTTCCATCTCTTTGTCAGCTTCTCTCTGATTCTCTTTGTATGCTAGCTTCATTCTGTCTACTGCAGACCAGCCACCTCATTTAGGAGGGAATATGGTCCTGGCTATCCAAGCAGTCCTTTCCATTGGTGCTGTGTTCTTTCAGGGTCTACAGATTAGTCCTAGAAAAGGACTCTGGCCGTATTTGGGCAGGTTCCCACTCTTAACATTAGTCCCTGTTGCCAAGGGGTTGATAGGCTAGGCTCACGTCTTAGGCCTACCCGAGGAGAGCAGAGGATTGTGGGTGATAGGTCACCTGAACTGTGCAGAATGGAGTGCTAAACAGGCAAAACCAAAACTGTCCACTAATATGCACAAATGACATACATCCATTTGAATTTTAAGATTTATGTCTTTGTTAATGAAATAAAAGCATTTTATCTCTGTTCAGATAATTTTATGTCAGCCAGCAGGTGCCAAGAAATAGTGTTGAGACTGGATCTACTGAAACTCATCCTGGATCTTTTTCAGGCATCTGTAGCCTCTCCTTCTTTGGAGAAAGAGCAGGGGTCTGCAGCTCTCAAAGGCATATTTGTAGCATGTGCTTCTGTCGGGGGACTCTTGTTCTCAGGGTACTGAGTTCAAGCTCCATATTGGGCTGGAGCCTACTTTAAAAAAAAAAAAAAAGGTAGAATGTGCTCCTGAGGATAAGGGAGCTGAGGTAGCTTATAATTAGTTCTTGGGCTCCTTCTTTCTCTTCTTACCTCAGTCTGTAACCCCCCTCCAACATTCTTATATAACTTTGACCCTATTTTAGTTCATATTTACCAAGATTTTCACTGTAATTTCTCTGATGATTTCTTCAAATAAGTTCTTATGTTGTTTATATTTTATCTGAAAGTTCTTCTGACATGCTGTAGCTGGATATCTCTTCATTTTTTAGACACATTCTTAAAGTACTACATTATTCCCAAATATCAGCACCAAAAGACAAGGCAGCATGGTAGAGTGTACCAATTACTGGTGTCAAAGTTAAAAGAAATTGGATTTGCATTCTAATTCTGTCCTAAAAGAGCTCTGTACTTGAGATAAGCCATTTAGTGTGTCATCTATAAAATGGAAGGTTGAAAGTGTTTTTCCTATATGGGATTTTTACCCCTTAAGAGCAATATATTAGTAGTAGGGATCTTTGAGTTATTTTCAGTATTTCAAGCAACTTAAGAAGCATTGTACATTATTTAGGCAGTTAGACACACGGATTAATGCAAGTGCCCTTTCTTTGTTTTTGTTTGGAATTACATGAACTCAGTTTATTCAGAAGCTTTAGGTGGCTAATAAATGCATTTGAAAAAAGTTTGGTATTTATTTCATAATAAATGTGTATATAGTAGAATAATTTTTCCAAAATTTCAGATCAGGAATGGGGTAATAATAAAGATTTTGTCTTGCTGGAATGGCTAGGAACCACTTTCAAAAGGTTCTCTTCTCTCTCACTTATTTAAGTGTTAAATTGGTAATATCTGAATTATTTCTTACTGTGTTGGCTTCAAGACAGTCATTCAAGTAAGCCTGAAAAGTCTAGAGAGTTATGATATTGGTGGTAGAGCTTAAATGTCCTGTGCCCACATTCAGGAGCCAATGCACTGAAAATGTTGAAAAAGTTCTTTTCGAACTTGGACTGAAATGCATACACAAAGGCACCCACCATGAACACATGGAAATTATGCAGAAAATTTTTCTTTCAAATCTCATTCATTCATCTGCCCATTACATTGTCTCTTTTCCCACCAATCCAAAACTTCTCTGGAGAAAAGATCTGATATATTTATTCAAAGTAAAGTATAGAAAAGTGTTATCAGTTAATGGGAAGAGTTTTAGTAAGTGGTAAAGCACTGTTTGGCTTAAGGCAAGAGTGAAGTTCTTATTGTAGAATTTGAGACACCAAGAGTTTGAGGGGGCAGATGTGATTTTTTAGATTCTCTGAGATCATTACACTGTGTACTGCTTACTCATAATATGAACTCTGTGGGGGTAGGGTGTGGGGAGAGAGAGTGGGAAGGAGAGAGAGAATCTTTTAAATTTGATTTTTAAATCTTTATATTTCAAGCTGAAATTTACATGAAATTTTATTTTGCTAAATAGTATCAGGCATTTAAGAAAAACACTTTAAAAAGTAAAGATCAGGGTGAGTAAATTTCATTCTTTTTTTTTTAAGATTTATTTATTGAGAGAAAGAGAGTGTGCACAGGAGCAGGGGGAGGGACAGAAGGAGGGGAAGATAGAGAATCTCAAGCAGCCTCCCAGCTGAGCGCCCATGGAAGGCAGGGCTTGATCTTACAACCCTGAGATCATGACCTGAGCTGAAACCAAGAGTCAGATGCCAAGCAACTGGGCCAACTAGGCACCCCTAAATTTCATTCTTGAAGAGTAGTGTTTATCTATAATCATTACTATTTAGAATGAACTTTTGCATGAGATTTTTTTTTTTTTAAGATTCTATTTATTTATTTGACGGAGAGAGACACAGTGAGAGAGGGAACACAAGCAGGGGGAGTGGGAGAGGGAGAAGCAGGCTTCCCGCGGAGCAGGGAGCCAGATGCGGGGCTCGATCCCAGGACCCTGGGATCATGACCTGAGCCAAAGGCAGGTGCTTAACGACTGAGCCACCCAGGTGCCCCTGCATTAGGATTTTTATTGAATTACAGGGGTAATGGTGATTTGGTGGCCAGGTATTTCTCATACTGAGCGTAGGAGTGGGACTCCCTTGGATATGTTTCAGGGCTTTGCACTGTGTTTTCTCATCTCTGCTTGCAGGATGGAGTTCCTCCACAGCCGCGAGCCGCGCACACATGTGCAGTTCTTGGAAATAAGGGCTATATTTTTGGCGGACGTGTTTTGGTTAGTGTTTTTAATGGAAATGGTATTTTTATGTGTGATTCTTCTTACAAAAATTATTTTCTGATTTTGGGGAACAAATGACTATTCAAATTATCTAAAGTGCTGTTCAGTAATAACTTTTATTTATTTTCCATCCCCTAAACAGACTATACATGAGTCATCACAGATGATTTATAAATCATATTTTAATGAGAAGAATCCTTCACTTCAGTGCATAACCAGAAAAGTTTAATTTCTGAACATCTAAATCCTGTTAGTTTAAACCCATTTCTTCCTTTCCCCCTTGACAAATTAATTGGGTAGCTCTATATTAATTTGATTAACACTTAGCGTTGTTTCCCAATATATAAACTTCTTATGTTAAGTAAAATGCAGATGGTCTATTTTTAATCTGAAATAATTTTAAAACCAAAATTTTAGCCCATGAAAAATGTAAAATACAGACTAACTTAACACACTTTTATTTTAGCAAACTAGGATGAATGATTTGCACTATCTGAACTTAGATACCTGGACTTGGTCTGGAAGGTAAGTTTGAGATTTAAGTATATTTTAATCAAAAGGCATTTGTGTGTGTGTGTGTGTGTCTCTTTGGGACCATAATCCAAATTTGAGTCTCTAGAACTGAATTAGTATCTTTTTCCTTCAGATTATATGTCTAAGCAAAGAATATACAGATTTAAATGCAGAGTTTGTTCTTTAACTAAATAAAACATGAGAATACCAGCAGTTTAAAATTGATTATGTAAAAGTACTGGTTTTGTACTAAATATTCTTGAGAACTGGTCAGTAGAAGAAATGAAGGAAGAGTTTATTGGGGCCATCACAAGTAAACAGATAATGAAGTAGGTAAAAGTCAGATTTTAATTGTAGTTCAAAATATATATTAAACAATAGCATAAATCTATTTAGCTATCACTTCAGCTGTTCGTGTAATGAGATAGAATCAGAGCTATATATTATTCTAAAGTAGAAATGCTATTAAAAATGAAACTGTGAAACTGCCAGAAAAAAAATTATAGCAGATTGTCTTTAAAATCTTGGCATGGAGAAAGTTTTTCTAAAGATGGTATAAACCCCAGGGCACCTGGGTGGCCCAGTCGTTTGAGTGTCTGCTTTCCAGTCTTGATCTTGGGGTCCTGGGATCAAGCCCTGCGGTGGGCTCCCTGCTCAGCGGGGAGCCTGCTTCTCCCTCTCTTACTGCTTGTGCTCTCTCTCTCTCTCAGATAAATAAATAAAATCTTTAAAAAAAAAAAAAGATATAAGGAAAATGCGATAAGATGAGAATAAAAATGTTAAATTATTAATGCATTTTTATTCTTTTAAACACCTTGATAATTCTTTTTTTATGTTGATTAGGGCCACTGTAATGATTTATTG